GGGGGGGGGGGGGGGGGGGGAATGACCACAATACCCTCTGCATTTTTCTATATAAACCCAACAAAGCAAGCGATTGTGTATCCATGTCCGTCCGAACTCATTGAGTGTTGTTTCTTTTTTCTGTTTTTCTTTTTTGAAATTAAAGCCATGTTGGGAGTATTTAGCAGCTCCATCATGTCGCCGCCGGACGAGTTGGTGGCCGCCGGAAGCCGTACGCCGTCTCCGAAAACGACATCCGCAGCTCTACTGAATCGGTTCGTCCAGATAAACTCCTCCGCCGTGTCGCTGCAGCTAGGGGACCATGCCTACCTCGCCTACACTCACGAAACGGAATCCACCTTGTGCCCCAGGTAAAATTACTATGTTTTGTTTTAAATCCGCCGCCGCCGCATCAGAATCTTTTTTTTTTTTTTTCCGAACTACTAGTAAATTAAATGAACTCGAAATTCGGTCGATCGGTGATCGGACGATCCGGGACGGCGGAGGCTTTAAATTCTTCGAATCGCCGCCGTAATTGGTGGTTAATTTATTGCAACCGTTGGCTGTTTGGTTGCTGAGAAAACTGGAAGGAAACCGACGGAAATATATTTTGGATTGTCGATTTTCTTCGATGGCATCCTCTAAATTCGGTTAAATTTTTATTAAATTAAAAATAATTAAAAATTAATTTTTTTTATTTATTATTATTAATTTTCTTTTCGGATGTTCTTTATTGAAAAAAAATAATTAACAAAAGCAGTTTCTGATGAAAGTTTGTTTTGAGAATATTGAATGGCTGCGATTTGTCGATCTCATGGATAGCTTGTGTGACACGTGCGATCAAAGATGATACTGTTCTGACTATATTGTCAGACAATAATCCATTGGCGTCGTGACACGTGTGTCCTAATTTTGTCCTCTTTCTGAAACTTATCCATTGGATCAAAGCAGTAATAAATCCTCTTATTTATTTATTTACTGAGCGTCTATTAAATATCAATAAATTCCATTTAACTAACTGTTCTTTATTAGTTATTTATTTATCTACTTTTAGTTTCTCATCAATCCTTGACTTGAAAATAAGTAAGATAATTTTTTAAAAAAAAGTAAACTAAGGTAAAATTTCTCTAATTTGCCAATCAAAATTCAAGCTACGAATGCACGACACGTAGAGGGCGGAGATGTTAATCCAAATTATTATATAATAATAACTGATTAATTGCTGAATTAATTCGTGACGACAGATCGTTCGCAGTGAAGGACGACATTTTCTGCTTATTCGCGGGAGTTTTGGACAATTTAGGGAGTCTCCGGCAACAATACGGCTTGGCCAAATCAGCGAACGAGGTGGTTCTGGTGATCGAGGCGTACAAGGCCCTCCGGGACCGAGCTCCATATCCGGCCAGCCA